TGGGGTGTGAGTTTTCAGTTGCATATTGTCCTGGGGACCATTCAGGCTTGTTCGCATATATATATATATATATATATATATATATATATATATATATATATATATATATATATATATATGTCATACATAGTAACCAGAACGCCCTTCTCGGCCTACTATGCAAGGCCCGATTTGCCTAACAGGCCGAGTGATTATTATATTATATTAAAAACATAAATTATTGACTTAGATGTGTTAGTTTAGGTTAGGTTAAGATAGGTTAGGTTAGGTAGGGTTGGTTAGGTTCGGTCAAACATCAATGTTAGTTTTAACTCAAATTTAAATGAATTAACTTATACATAATGAAATGGACAGATTTATCATTTCATAAGAAAAAAATAGAAAAATATATAAATTAATGAAAACTTGGTTCATTAAGTAAATCGGGTCTTGCTTAGTAGGCCGAGTACGACATTCTGGCTACTAGGTGCAACTAGTAGCCAGAACTAAAAATGTAATTAGTAAGATAGAAACTACACAGGGATAAAATAAGATCACAACCTTTCATGGGAAACAGAAATATATATATGTACATGATGTAGCACTGCAGGTGTCATTTTCGCATTTTCACTATAAATCTTCTTCAATCTTCTTTCCCCGTCGAATCCACTTCTATCTTCTATCGTACATCACTCAAGGTTCCCTCAGGCTGTCTTTTATGGTCCTCATAACGGCGAGTTTACCTTTCTCAGTAAATCGTGGGCCAGTCCTGCACAGTATCGTCACAGTGCCAAAGCAACTCTTCTCTCCAGCAACACACTTGCAGATGTCTCCAGCAACACACTGGCAGATGTCTCCAGCAACACACTGGCAGATGTCTCCAGCAACACACTGGCAGATGTCTCCAGCAACACACTGGCAGGGGTCTCCAGCAACACACTGGCAGGGGTCTCCAGCAACACACTGGCAGATGTCTCCAGCAACACACTGGTAGATGTCTCCAGCAACACACTGGCAGATGTCTCCAGCAACACACTGACAGGGGTCTCCAGCAACACACTGGCAGGGGTCTCCAGCAACACACTGGCAGATGTCTCCAGCAACACACTGGCAGATGTCTCCAGCAACACACTGACAGGGGTCTCCAGCAACACACTGGCAGGGGTCTCCAGCAACACACTGGCAGATGTCTCCAGCAACACACTGGCAGATGTCTCCAGCAACACACTGGCAGGGGTCTCCAGCAACACACTGGCAGGGGTCTCCAGCAACACACTGGCAGGGGTCTCCAGCAACACACTGACACGGGTCTCCAGCAACACACTGGCAGGGGTCTCCAGCAACACACTGGCAGATGTCTCCAGCAACACACTGGCAGATGTCTCCAGCAACACACTGGCAGGGGTCTCCAGCAACACACTGGCAGGGGTCTCCAGCAACACACTGGCAGGGGTCTCCAGCAACACACTGGCACGGGTCTCCAGCAACACACTGGCAGGGGTCTCCAGCAACACACTGGCAGGGGTCTCCAGCAACACACTGGCAGGGGTCTCCAGCAACGCACTGGCAGATGTCTCCAGCAACACACTGGCAGATGTCTCCAGCAACACACTGACAGGGGTCTCCAGCAACACACTGGCAGGGGTCTCCAGCAACACACTGGCAGATGTCTCCAGCAACACACTGGCAGATGTCTCCAGCAACACACTGACAGATGTCTCCAGCAACACACTGGCAGATGTCTCCAGCAACACACTTCCAGATGTCTCCAGCAACACACTGGCAGATGTCTCCAGCAACACACTGGCAGATGTCTCCAGCAACACACTGGCAGATGTCTCCAGCAACACACTGGCAGAGGTCTCCAGCAACACACTGGCAGAGGTCTCCAGCAACACACTTCCAAATGTCTCCAGCAACACACTGGCAGAGGTCTCCAGCAACACACTGGCAGGGGTCTCCAGCAACACACTGGCAGGGGTCTCCAGCAACACACTGGCAGATGTCTCCAGCAACACACTGGCAGAGGTCTCCAGCAACACACTGGCAGATGTCTCCAGCAACACACTTCCAGATGTCTCCAGCAACACACTGGCAGAGGTCTCCAGCAACACACTGGCAGGGGTCTCCAGCAACACACTGGCAGGGGTCTCCAGCAACACACTGGCAGGGGTCTCCAGCAACACACTGACAGATGTCTCCAGCACCACACTGGCAGATGTCTCCAGCAACACACTGGCAGATGTCTCCAGCAACACACTGGCAGATGTCTTCAGCAACACACTGGCAGATGTCTCCAGCAACACACTGACAGGGGTCTCCAGCAACACACTGGCAGGGGTCTCCAGCAACACACTGGCAGGGGTCTCCAGCAACACACTGGCAGGGGTCTCCAGCAACACACTGGCAGCGGTCTCCAGCAACACACTGGCAGGGGTCTCCAGCAACACACTGGCAGGGGTCTCCAGCAACACACTGGCAGGGGTCTCCAGCAACACACTGGCAGGGGTCTCCAGCAACACACTGGCAGGGGTCTCCAGCAACACACTGGCAGGGGTCTCCAGCAACACACTGGCAGGGGTCTCCAGCAACACACTGGCAGGGGTCTCCAGCAACACACTGGCAGGGGTCTCCAGCAACACACTGGCAGGGGTCTCCAGCAACACACTGGCAGGGGTCTCCAGCAACACACTGGCAGGGGTCTCCAGCAACACACTGGCAGGGGTCTCCAGCAACACACTGGCAGGGGTCTCCAGCAACACACTGGCAGGGGTCTCCAGCAACACACTGGCAGGGGTCTCCAGCAACACACTGGCAGGGGTCTCCAGCAACACACTGGCAGGGGTCTCCAGCAACACACTGGCAGGGGTCTCCAGCAACACACTGGCAGGGGTCTCCAGCAACACACTGGCAGGGGTCTCCAGCAACACACTGGCAGGGGTCTCCAGCAACACACTGGCAGGGGTCTCCAGCAACACACTGGCAGGGGTCTCCAGCAACACACTGGCAGGGGTCTCCAGCAACACACTGGCAGGGGTCTCCAGCAACACACTGGCAGGGGTCTCCAGCAACACACTGGCAGGGGTCTCCAGCAACACACTGGCAGGGGTCTCCAGCAACACACTGGCAGGGGTCTCCAGCAACACACTGGCAGGGGTCTCCAGCAACACACTGGCAGGGGTCTCCAGCAACACACTGGCAGGGGTCTCCAGCAACACACTGGCAGGGGTCTCCAGCAACACACTGGCAGGGGTCTCCAGCAACACACTGGCAGGGGTCTCCAGCAACACACTGGCAGGGGTCTCCAGCAACACACTGGCAGGGTTCTCCAGCAACACACTGGCAGGGGTCTCCAGCAACACACTGGCAGGGGTCTCCAGCAACACACTGGCAGGGGTCTCCAGCAACACACTGGCAGGGGTCTCCAGCAACACACTGGCAGGGGTCTCCAGCAACACACTGGCACGGGTCTCCAGCAACACACTGGCAGGGGTCTCCAGCAACACACTGGCAGGGGTCTCCAGCAACACACTGGCAGGGGTCTCCAGCAACACACTGGCAGGGGTCTCCAGCAACACACTGGCAGGGGTCTCCAGCAACACACTGGCAGAGGTCTCCAGCAACACACTGGCAGAGGTCTCCAGGAACACACTGGCAGGGGTCTCCAGCAACACACTGGCAGACTTCCACACAGGTTTATAACAAGATTTAACAGACGGACAGAACTTCCATCTCATAATTCAACTTGGTCATCCCGGGGTACGTCAATCCAATCGCCAATACTTCGCTAAGTATTACAGACAAATCGCTGTCTATACCAACTAGGCCACGTGTTCCCATTGGAACACGTCTTGAGTTCAAGACTGTCCTAGGGAAACTGATTCCTGTCGACCAAGATAACACCCACATCACTTTTGTGAAAAAAATGTAATTAGTAAGATAGAAACTACACAGGGATAAAATAAGATCACAAACTTTCATGGGAAACAGAAATTGGGGTCGGGAGCGCGCAACAGATGGCGTTGACATCGTCACACCTCTCTTCTTAAAAGAATTTCGGTCGGATGTTCTAAACAAATGGCGTTGACATCGTTACAGAACACCACTATAAAGATCAGGCCCACCTAGGGGGCCTGAGAAACTAGGCGTCTCAGTCTTAATATTCTCAGTCTTAACAAATATAAGACAGAGCATAAGTAGTACATAAGATAATAGGAAGAAGAGTTCGATGAGATTATCTAGGGAGAGTGGATCCACTTTTCTAGAAATAGGTTCTCTCCATAACCCTTTTTTCCTTAACTTAATTTTTCCTTTGAAGACTAGTTATGCCATGGGCTTACGAGCCCAACTCAGCACCTAAACTACTTACCAACCTATTAAATATAACTAACTAGGTTAACAAATATTTAACCAATAAATAAGTTAGATGTATTGCAATTATTTAAAGATAAATTAATTTATAAATTTTGCAATAGATAAATTCACAATAATAAAGAATAGTATACCCAATGTTACCATATGTTTAAATAGAAATATGTGGCAAGATTCCATAATTAAAAGATTTGGTTTAAGTAATAATTTATAACCGTTGCTAGTGTGCACTGTATTATAATTCAATTAATTTTACCATTAGAAAAAAAGATTTATTTAAATCAACAGGTAAATGAAGGCAGGTAAATATGTTGATGTTGTTGAGACACCTTCTCAGTGTTGTCCCTTAAGGAAGAGAAGATACAGTCCACAGCATAGCACAAAGAGTTATAGCAATACAGTCTTCCCAGAGGTCACATGATATTACTATTACAACAGACAGCTAAGCTTGCTGTTATCATTCTTTTCTCTTGTTTAATAGTTCTTTTAAGTGTAAGAATTTTTATTGAGGGAAACAAATAAATCTCAATCTCCATATCTGCTGCTGAGTTTATATATAGTCTCTGTAGGTCCTCCGTGTTTGCTGGACAGGTATACAAATGTGTGGAGGGACTTGTACATAAGCAAAGGAGGACTGGAGGTAAAGACAATTTATCTTTGAATTGCAACCTTTCAGTTGGTTTTATTACTTATTAAAATTAATGATTAATACAAACATTTTAGCTTTATATTTCACTTCCTATTGCCATCATTCCTTTTTATTCCCGATTGTTTTGTCAAATGTAGACATCATTTTGCTAATGAGGTGATGTGTGTGGCGCAGCTGCTGGTCGAGGGTGTCGAGGCGAGTGTTGAGTGTCTTGTCGAGTGTGTCAAAGCGGGTGTTCAGCTCAGCAAGGTGTGATGGCCAATAGTTTTCCTCCTGAGGAAGAAATATGAAGACAGATAAGGTATTGAGAAGGTTTCCTCCGTCTTTCCTAATTTCTGTTGGCTATTATTTATATTTTATTTAGAGTCATGGTTGGTAAGGATCTTAATCCAATGGAGAGCCGGTGGCTGAACGAACAGAACACTGGTCGCTTGATCCTGTGGTCCCGGGTTCGATCCCGGGCGCCGGCGAGAAACAATGGGCAGAGTTTCTTTCACCCCCTGATGCTCCTGTTACCTAGCAGTAAATATGTACCTGGGAGTTAGTCAGCTGTCACAGGCTGCTTCCTGTGGGTGGAGGCCTGGTCGAGGACCGGGCCGCGGGGACACTAAGCCCCAAAATTACCTCAAGATGATATCAATTGCCAAATGTTTAAAATAAGGCAAATAGTATACAGTATTAAGATGCATAATTGGAGGCGTTATAATACGGTAATTACAGGTGGTGTTCATCAGCTCTGTCATGCCTTGGTTAGACCACAATTATATAAGGGGACATAAATGAGATATTCTTTAAAATATTTTAAAACAATCGAAAATTTTGAAAATATTTATAAAAATATGTTCGCTTCTGGCAACACCATACTGTAGTCAAGTTGCTGTTATATTAGGATTTTTTTTTTGTAATATAAGCCCACCTCCCTCCCTCCCCCCATCCTCCCTGTATCCAAAATAACACTTACGTGTCAGGTCACAGCAGCAATGCATAGCATTGTTACAAATCTCATAATTTTTGTGAAATAAATTATATCTCTTTACAGTACATTATTATTCTGGTGGTGTTCAGTTTCAGCTCCAGAGTTGGAGGGAGGAGCCAGCAGATTGTGAAATGTATCCAATGTTTCCAGATTGGGGTGAAATAAATGGGTAAAGTAGCCCAATTAGGGTACTTTTGAGAGCTCTACGCTCGAAAATGTTTAATCTCGCTACTTGTGACTTTTTGGACTAATATAAAAATGAGTTGGGCTACTAATGTTAAAGTCAGTGACTTATTATTTATGCATTTATAATGTAATATGTGTAAGTCACAGCTGCGTCCAACTGCTATCCTCGGAAGCCGGAAGCTTGGAAAGAAATAGTAACCGCAAGGTAAGGTAATACTCCCCAGAGGCGACTGACTTCTCAACCTTTGTAGCCATTAATGCTGCATCCAGGGTAATGTCTATGCAAGCAATCCTTCTTCATGAAATTTCTTATCAAATGCACCTGTATTTGCATCTGCAAACCAAATTCCTTGCATTTGGTTTGTTCTCATGCATCTGAAGAATTTCCTTCCAGCATCAACTTTATAATACGAGAAAACTACAGATGGTTCCACAGATCTTCATTCAGAAGAGAAAGTTATCTAGAGATTTACAGACATATATGATGGAAAAGATCCCTTATAGTTTATAGCTTTGTCAGGAACACGATGGTTGGTAAGGAACAATACTAATTCGCTTTTTCCCCTTGTGATAAGTATTCTGCAAGGCAACTATTTTTAATTTACTCTAATCATCCCAATAGCTATATTTCACATTCCACAAAGCAATCCTATTTTTTTTTTTACTTTATCAAAAAAACGAAATACATCAGTATAGTTAGTTATAGTTAGTCACACTGAGTTAGAAAACTTCACTTTTGGAATACTCGGAAAATTCTTGCATCTTGATCATGCCAAGCTTGATGTTAATTAGGACTTTAATTACATTTATCTGCCCCCCTGGAGAAAGTGGACTTTGGTTACGAATTTTCTACGTCTCTAGCCACTTACAGATAAAACTATGAAAGATGTCATAAATTTTTAGTGAAAGCTTGCGAAGAGCTTCTTTCTCATGTTCCTAGTAATGCTGAAACTTTAAAAAAGGTGAAAATTGTGTCACCCAGAATTTCCCTAGGTGACACACAGTCACCATTTTCAGAACTTCTGTTAGTTCTGACCAGCTGGTTAACTGACCAGTCTAAGCTTAGAGAAATTGAAAATAAGCGTTGTGTACTGTTAACAAGTGACTGCACCAACATCTGTGAGGGACAAATTCCAACATCTGGATCGTTATTTTGGACCAAGGCAATAACTGTCAAGAACGCTGCTGGAGAGCCCAGGTTCATTGACCTCACTGAGATTACGTTGAAAATATACTGATTACTAATCAGTAACGCCCTAGATGAACGAGTGTTTTATAATAATTACAATAATAATTTTTATTCAAAAGAATGTACAAAGGGTTAGTGAGATTACATAAGATTGGTATTTTTCCATTCTTAAAAGCCCACTAACACGCATAGCATTTCGGGCAGCAGCTCCTTAATCTAACATATTAGGTAAGATGAAAAGGAATATTGTAGCAAGCTTTTATATACAACAAATAATTACAATACAAATTGACAGAGGGGATTAAATTGGTGAATATATATGTTTTAAGTTGTAATATAGGGAAAATGGGTAGTACAAGATATAGTGTGAGTTTGAACCACAAGGCAGAAAACTATGAGAATGTGAGAGTATGTCTTTCAAGATTCTCCCACAGCTGACTTGAAATGGCTCACTGCAGTGCACAGTGCACCGATCTTTCGTGCACAAGCCCTATCTCTCTTAATCCTGGATTGTGACCTGGCATGTTGGGTATCTCCAGAATGCCCACTTAACCAGGAACACTTTCATAATACGGAGGCCGCCGTATGTCCAGGCAGGAAGTAGATACAGGGAAGTTAAGCATACTTGCCTCCAAGGGTCAGTGAGTACATTGGCTGGGGCCAGCATGAGAAGACACAGAGGGGAGGCGCCAACGACCGTCTGACCTCTGGGGTCAACCGGCGCTAAGAAGTAAGTAATTATCAAAAGAAGGCACCAAACCGGGAAGGCTATGTAGCACCATCAAATGCGCAAAATAATCAGAGGGCGCTAAATATCACCAAGGATGCCAATACGAGAACAAAAACGCATAAGGCGAACGATATCAAAAGTATCCGAGTCACCAAGAATTCTATTGAGGGACAGGTGACCGCGAGGGGCGGTCGGAAAGCAAGACACACGCTCGTCCTGGAAGTCAGGACATTCAAGAAGGACATGCACGACCGTAAGAGGGACAATGCAACTAGGACAATAAGGAGCAGGGCGGCGCTCCATCAAGTGACCATGGGTTAAGCGAGTATGGCCAATACGCAACCTCGCCAGAGCTGTTTCCCATCGCCGGTTACGGTGGTAGGAGGACGGCCACGAGGAAACACAACATTTAAGAGTACGTAGTTTGTTACCAGTAACAGACAACCAAGAAGCCTGCCAACGGGTAAGGACGGAGGAATGGATAACCGGGTAAAAGTCGGAATACGGAATACCTTTACGAGAGATGGGACAAGAGCGGACAGCTTCCTTGGCGGCAGCATCCGCACGCTCATTTAAAGACACACCAATATGGCTGGGAACCCAACAAAACTCAACCGACTTAAATTTACTGTGAACAAGAAACAGCCAATGCTGGATCTCGACAACTACTGGATGAACCGGATTAAAGGACCCGAGAGCCATGAGGGCACTACGAGAGTCAACAACAACTACAAAGGAAGACTGACAACGAGAAAGCAGGAGACGAAGAGCATAGAGAATAGCATAAAGCTCCGCTGTAAAGATGCTAGTCTCCGGAGGTAAGCGACACATATAAGTGCGATCAGGAAAAACAACAGAGTAGCCAACACCGTCCGCAGACTTAGACCCATCGGTGAAGACAGAAACGGAGCGGGAGTGAGAAGAAAAGTGCTCAAGGAAAAGGCGTTTTAGAACCGTAGGAGGGGTAAAAGCTTTAGTGATACGGGTCAAGGATGTACAAAACCGCGGAAGAGGGACTCTCCACGGGGGCAAAGAAGGAACAACACGAGGAGAAACATTAGAAATACGAACGGAAAGAGAGTCCTGTAGGCGAGATAACCGGACAGAAAGAGGGAGGTGGTGAAGAGGAACAGGAACCGCAGGAGGGGTAAAAGTTAAAGCACGACAGAGGCGAGAGGAAGGATGTTGTAAGGACCGCGCAAGATAGCGAAGACAGTAGCGATCACGGCGGTCTTGGAGAGACAGGAAGCCAGTGTCAACATACAAGCTAAGGACGGGAGTCGAACGAAAGGCACCAGAACTGAGGCGCAACCCAGTATGGTGCAAAGCATCAAGACGGCGAAGAGTAGAAGGAGAAGCAGACGAGTAAGCAGGGCAACCATAATCGAGCTTAGACAGGACGAGAGAGGAATGTAAAGCAAGGAGAGTGCGCCTATCTGCCCCCCAAGAAGTATGGGACAAGACCCGAAGGAGGGTAAGGGCCTTAGAGCACTCAACACGGAGGTAAGAGATATGGGGAGACCAAGACAAACGAGTGTCAAGGAATAACCCCAAAAGCTTCGCGGAATCTTTGTACTCAAGGGGATGACCATAAAGTGACAAAGAGGGACGAAGAACGACCCGTTTCCGCGTAAAAGTCATGGCACAAGTCTTAGAAGTAGAGAACTTGAAGCCATGATCGGTGGCCCAAGACGACACGGCATCAATTGCAAGTTGAAGCCGGCGCTGAAGGAGAGGCGAATCATCACCCTGACAGCAAAGGGTAAGATCATCGACATAGAGAGCGGAGAAGACACCTGAAGGAAGAGAGGAAAGAAGACCATTGAGGGCAACCAGAAAAAGAGTAGTGCTCAGAACACTACCCTGGGGCACACCTTCGTATTGCTGAAAAGAGGCAGAGAGAGCGGTACCAAGGCGTACCCGAAAGGAACGACGAGAGAGGAAGCTGCGGAGAAAGAGAGGGAGACGACCACGAAGGCCAAAAGAATGAAGTTGAGATAGAATATGATACCGCCAAGTGGTGTCGTAAGCCTTTTCCAGGTCAAAAAGGACGGCAACAACGGAGGTCTTCGCAGCAAAAGCAGTACGAATATAGACCTCCAAGTTCACCAGGACATCTGTCGTGCTGCGGCACTTGCGGAAACCAAATTGAGAAGGGGAGAGGAGTTGATGGTGTTCCAGGAACCACATCA